CAGCTGGAACTCGGCGGGCAGCTGGTGGGACTCCTGCCACTTGGTGGTGAACTTGGTCCCCTTCTTGTCGTAGTAGTGGTACGGGAGGTCCTCCCGCGTGTTGGGGTCGAAGCCGAAGGGCCAGAAGCCGTACAGGTGGATCTCCTCGCAGATGGCAGAGGCCAGGGTGTACATGAGGATCCCCGTGCTCAGCCGCTTGGGGGACAGGTGCTTGTTCCGCCAGTACCTGGGGAAAGGAAGGGGTGTCACAATCAACCTGCCCAGAAATAACCAAAGGATGTGCTGAAGCAACGACAAAGCTGCCATCGCTCTCAAAACGAGCAGTGTCAGACTGTGCCTGCCACGTCAGGGAAAAAGAAACGTGGGAACGATTGTACAAGCTGTACTTTGTCAAGGCAAACGCGAGGCAAACCCACCCACCTGTTAACGTGCTGCATGATATTCCCTGGCCAAGCCAGCTGGACCTTCAGCTGCCCTCTGTGCTCCACGAAGAAGTCGACCAGCGTTCTCGTGACCGTGGCCGACGTGTGGAAGAAGAAAGCGGGGATCCAAAGGATGGCCCCGTCGAGCTTTTTCAAGCTCAAGAAGAAGTTGTTGCGATCCTGAATGGTCAGGAGGTTGTTGTAATACTTCTCCAGGATGCTGGGGTTGAAGGTGGTGAGGTTGGTTTTCCTCCCCACGTCTTTTTGGAAAGCCTCGGTCGGAGCGAAGTTGCACCGAAAGACGAAATCCGATTTATCGATCTCCTGCCCGCACTGGCTGCCGGTCAGGATCCCGCTGTTCCCCACCACGGCACAGATGTTGTAGTGCTTGTTCAGGATGGGAGACACGTCGGGAAGCAGAGACCTGAAGTTATTGCTGATGGAGAAGACGTACTTATGGCTGGAATAGTCGTAGTGCATCAGCTGCCCGATGCGGACGCTGCTCTTGGTCAGGGAGAAGTTCTTGATGACGTCGACGTGCTGAAGGATTTCCTGCCTAAGGGAAAAGAGCAAAAGAGCAGAAAACATGGACTTACAGCCCCTTCTTTTTGCCGTGGCAATGGCTTTTAAATTAATATAAATAGCTGGGAACTGGGGAGCTGGCTCCTCACCTCGGGCTCCGCTTCTGACTGGCACCAACTAAGGCTGTGTCTGTGCCTCTTGGAATTGTGTCGGGATTAAAACATCGGACTGTCTGTGTAAGTCAAGGGTACAGCTCGTGGTACACCCTGCCGCGGTCACCCCGGTGTGGGGAGTGTGTGACATTGTCCTGTTCGTGCTGGGACATGGTGGGCAGGTTTCTGCCGGGGCTCTGTGGGTGCACCAGGTTTGCCTCGAGGTATGCGAAGCAAACCCCGGATATCCAGCTGAATTAACAGGAGCCAATTTATAAATATCTCTGTCTTTATGTCCTCATTAACAAGCTTTGAATCACAAAACCAAGCGGCAGCCTCTGTCTCCATCTATGCAAATGTAGTTCCTTAATGTCTCATCCACCGGCAGCTTTACGAGGGTTATTAGGGAGGCTTACGAAGCAAACAAAACCAACCCTGCTCGGGAATTTCCCTCGCAGGGCATAAAATTAGAAACCCAATACCACTTTATTTGCTCGTGTTTATGGAAAACAAACAACCTTTCCTCCAGCTCTCATCCTCCAATGTCTGAGCATTAATGGAGTCCCACTGGGTGCCCTAATTATGGGCTCTGGCTGCCGGACAAGTGCAAAGGCAGCTCCTGAGGCATCAGCTAAAATCATCGGGGGGTGGCACAGGGGCAGGCTTCTGGAGCTGGTGGTGCCAGGAATGGAGCAACACCGAAGGGTGGCCACTGTCACACAGCCTGGGGTGTCCCAGGGAAAAGATGGCACGGGCAGAGTGCCACCTCCCCTCCGGAGGGCAGCGGGCAGCATATGGTGGCACTGGAAGGGAATGATTTGTCCTGCTGTGCTTGGAGAGTCGCCTGAAGGGAGGAGAGGAGCCCAACCCCTGCCCCGAGGGGTGCAGCAGCCCCATCCTGCCTGGCTGCAGAGCTGAGGGGCCTGGATTCCAGCTCCGGGGGTGGGGTATGTGAACTGCGAGCTGTGAGGCGGCCCCCGAAGCAGCGGGCGTTTGTCAGGACAAAATTACGGTCCAGGATGGCAGCAGCTCTCTGAAATGGCTAAATGGCTCTATTTTCATTTCCAGAAAAGTTTAATCTCTGTAATCAGCAAATAGATAGAGCGTACAAAGCCGTGTGCCCGCCCCCGCAGCCGGAGCGGAGCCGGAGGCAGGAGCAGCACTGCACTTGCTCAGAGCTGCCGGCAGCTGGGAACTTTCCCTGGGCGTGTTTTGGCCTCCATGAACGTGGCACTTCATGGCTGTTCCAGCCCTGTGTGCTTCCAGTTTGAACCCCCGGCCGTTTCTCCCGGAGGAACGACACTTTAAATCGCGCACCAGGAAACTGGGTCACGTCCCGGCACAATAACGTGTGTGCTGCAGCCCGGTGTCCTGCTCTGAAATAATCGAGCCTGCCGGGGTAGCTGCAACCGTCTGGGGAAACGCTCTGATTCAGCCTTTGTCTCTCGCCGCCGGCAAATCCCTCGGAGCTCAGAGTGTTCAGCAGTCCCTGAGCGCATTCCCTGAAATCCCGGGGGCAGGGGACAGCCCGGGCCGGGCCCGGGGGCTCGCTCACCTCTGCTGGGCGAAGGCGCTCCGGTTGAAGGCCCACCTGGAGGGCTTCTCCTGCAGCTCCTGGCTCAGGGAGTTGGTGATGGGCACGAACGAGGGGTCCAGGAACTTCAGCGCGAACTGGGACCTGGGGAAGGGCGCACGGGCACCGACCCACGCACGGCAGGCGGGGACACCCCCGCGGGCACAGGCGGGGACACCCCCGCGACACACGGACACACACCCGGGCACAGACACACGGACCCGCCGCCCGGTACCGGCCGTGCCCGACCCGCCCCCGCCGCCGCCGCCATCAGCACCGCGGACAGCGCCCGCCGCTCCCCGCCCGCGTGCGGCCGGACCGGGCCGGACGGGGCCCTACCGGGCTCTACCGCCCCGTTCCCACTCGCCCCGGGCCGTTCCGCGCCCCCAGCCCGCGGTGCCGGAGCCCTCCCGCCCCTCAGCATCCCGGCGCTGCGGTTCCCACGCCCGGCGCTCCATCCCCGCTCCCGCCGTCCCCCCCGCTCCCTGGGCCGGGCAGGGCGCGGCCGGAGCCGCATCCCCGCTGCGGTGGCACCGGGGGCCGCTATCCCGGCCCCCCTGGCCGGCCCATCCGGGCATCCCGAGCGCGCCGAGCATCCCGGGCCGCGCTCACCTGAATCCCGCGTGGAACATGTACATGCGGGGCCCGGCGGGGCCGGCGGCGCGGGGCGCCCCGAAGATGTTGTCCTTCTTGAGCGAGACGTAGCTGATGAGGGAGAGGATGAGCAGCGCGACGCTGAGCATGACGAGCCCCAGCACGCTGGCCACCCGCACCATCTTGCAGCTCCGCATGCCGGAGGCGGCCCCGCGGCTGGGCGGGTGCGGGGCGGCCGCGGCGCTACATGGGGGCGGCGGCGGGGCCGGGGCCGGGCCGGCACCGCCGCGCTCCGAGGGAAAATGGAGGGATGGAGCGCTGAAATGGCAGCCGGGAGAGGCAGCCCCGGCCCCGGCGGCGCCGCCGAGCCCCCCCCCGCCCGCCCCCGGCCCCGGCACGGCCCCCCCGCAGCCGCGGAGAACGCACCGCCAGCCCCGGGGGGCCCCGAGTGTGCCCACCCTGACACCCCCAGGGTGCCCAGAGCACCCTGCCCGCTGCCTTGGGGGACTCTGCAGCGATCCCCCAAAAGCCTGGGGTGGCTGGGGGAGGCTCAGACTGGCAGCCCGAGTGCCGCAGGGATCCCCCAGACCCTCTGGATGTGTGTAGGGCTCAGGCATGGGGAGCCCGGGCTGCTGGGGACACTGTGACTGTGTCCGGGTGGGTGCTCGATGTCCCCAGCCCCCTGTGACACATTTCCCCGTGACACCACGGATCACAGATGGCACATACAGGGCTGCAGGACCCCGTGCTGGACAGTGCAGAACCAGCGCTGGCTCGGCAGACCCTCGTTCTTTAAAAGCCCGGTGTCCGGGGCAAGGTTCATTAAACCGGCCCCTAAATCACACAGCAAATTCCACACGAACTCCAAGAGAGCCTGACTTCTGAGCCGAGGAATGTCCCTCATGAACATGACTTCTGCGTGCTGCACTGCTCTCGGCGTCCTCTCCAACTCCATTTTTCCCTCACAAAGCTTTGCCCCCCCCACAGCCCGCTCTGCCTCCCAGCCCCGAGTTCACTGAAGTGCCTTATAAATAATAAATCTTGTCTTTGTAGCCCCGTCCTTGCTCTGGGCTATATCCTACACGCTCTCCATGCACCAGGCTCCCTTTGAAGAGCAGGAACACGAGCAGCTTGCAGGGCTGGGGTTTGTGTCACAGCGGTGCTTCTCCAGCCTGCAGTGGGAGTTCGACCCGAGCATGGCCCCAGGTCTATATCCCGCTCCTGTGGGATGCCTGTAGCTTTGGTGGAGGGAGAGGAAAGGCTGGGAATGGAGGATATAATGGCTGGTTGATACAGGTTTTTGTGTGCCTGTTGTCCACCCAGTGCATGGTGTCCCCAGCCTCGACATGGATGGTGTTGTCCTAGTGAAGTCCCAACCTTCCCAGGATAAACCAACTGCAGTTTTTGGCTTTAGATATTTTGGGATTCGGTTCTATAACCTTTAACGTTGTCTCCTGTAGTTTCTGACTGTGTGTCCTGGGGCTGGGAATAAACCCTAGAGTGAGACTGTGCAGCCCTGGTGTCACACACCTCTCCTGGCACTGGGAGAGCTTCCCACTCAGTCCCACTGCCCTGCCACGGGCAGGGACACCTTCCAGCAGCCCAGGTTGCTTTGAGCCCCGTCCAAGCTGTCCAAGGGGAGGAGCAGCACTGCTCCCGGGCACAGCTCAGCCGGAGCACCCTGAGCTGCAGGAAGGAGGTCGTTTCCACTCCGGCCCCAGCTTTGGCCCCCTTTCTCCCCTTATCTCGCCCGTGCAAATGAGGCTTGGGAGCACCTCGGGAAGGTGTTTTGGTGAGAAATGTTCCAACCCTGCCGTGTGCCTCAGCCTCCCTCCTGAACCCCAGCCCCCCGGCCCCGCAGCCAACAAGTTGCGGTGGAAACAAAGGCAGTTCTCGCTTCAGATTCCTCCCAGATAGCAATATGTCAGGAGCCCCTGGAGAGGCTGAAAGTAAATGAATCAGTGCTAGAAAGTGAAGGATCTCATCCGTGCTGAATGGTGAGAAGGAGTCCTGAGCAGCATCTCCATTGATTTTCCCGTAATTGACACCCAGCTCGGCTCGCCGGAGGCTGCGCGGGAGCGCCAGGCCCAGGTAGGGCCCTGCCCGGGGTCGGTGAGGGGCTGTGGGGAGTGCCAGGCCCAGGTAGGGCCCTGCCCGGGGTCGGTGAGGGGCTGTGGGGAGTGCCAGGCCCAGGTAGGGCCCTGCCCGGCGTGGCCTCGCCTTGGTGAGGGGCTGTGGGGAGCTCAGGAGGAGCTGCTGGGCTGGGCACCCCGTTTTGGTGAGGAGAGGCACGGCCACACCACAGAAAAGAAACCAGGAGCGTTGATCTGCGTTCAAGCCCAATGAAGGAATCACTTAGGAAAGGTTCCCTCTTTTCGGCTTAGGGAAATGGGACGGGAGAGTTGTGCTTGGAAGGTTTGCCCCTGCTGAAATCCACCTTTTCCAGGCTCTCTCTGCCGTGTCCCTCCCTCCTTTGAAGCTGCTGCTTGGGGTCTCCAAGCGTGAGGGGGCCTCGGTCTGCCTGACTGCGCTCCGAGTGGTTTTCAAGTCCCTTTAAAAGCAGGTGCTTGTCAGCCTGCTGGGGTGTGGAGATCCCCGAATTTACTCCCAGGAGCGGCCGAGGCTGCCGGTTTGCAGCGACTGCAGACACATTCCTGGGGGAAGGCGGTGAGGAGGGAGCACCTGCAGCTCCGGGACCACTGCTGGGCCAATGACCCCCCTGCACCCCAACCCTTGCAGCCACAGGAGCCGGGAAGGATCCGGGCGGGATCCGGGCGGGCCCCCGGCCCTGTGAGCCGCCGGCCCCGCGGTTTCCCTGAGTCACTCCCGCCCGGAGCCCCGAGGTTCCTGCTGATGCAGCGCCGGGGTCTCTAAATGCTTTGTTGAACGCCTGCCCGCTGTGCCTAAGTGCTTTCAGCCCGGGTGGCTGCTGAATCGGGTTTCCTGGGACAATTATTTGGAGCATAAGTACCCAAAGTCTGCTCGAGCCCTTTTCTAAGTGCTTACGTTATTTTGTTTTAAAATCCCTGGCACCGCGTCCTCAGACCGGTCCCAGAGACGTACTTATTTTAATTATATTTGGGGAAACGCTTGCTGGCCACAACGGGATGTAAAACGTGCCGTGTTTTTTCTCTCGGCCTCCGAGCCCTCACTCTTCTGGCAGCTCCAGGAGCCGGCTGAGTCCCGCCAGGAATGTACGGGAATTAAACCCCAAGCGGAAAACAACGGGAATAACCCTGGGGTGTCCACGGGGAGGAACCTCAGCAAGGACGAGCGGGTGGAAAATCCTAATGAAAAGGCTAAAGCTGGGAAGAGTTGGGAGCGATTAGTGGTGTGCATGCAGCTGAGCCTGCCGCAGATTACTCGTCTTTAGGCCTAATCCTCCGCGCCGGGGAAAAAAAAAAAAGCCCAAATCTCTTCATATTTTTTAAGGAGTGATTATCACAGACTCCGGGATGATTGTGTAAAAATTAATCCCGGGGGATGAGGCCGGGTTCGGAGCTGCAGGGTGGTGCTGGCCAGAAGCTGGTAAACAAACCTGTCCCGGAGTGAGGGAATTAAGCTCGGGCTGGGCTCCCCTGCACTGAGGGGCCTTATCCAACCGCTCCAGCCTGTGGGCCATGGGGTGCCTGGGGACACCCCACGGCCACAGGTCCCACAGAAGGCTTTCCAGGGCTTCCCTGGAGGTGGGCAGGGGGCTTTAAAGGCAGGAGTGGGGCCATGCCATCGGTGGGGACCGTGCCAGCCCCCCGGCTCGTCCCTCCTCAGGGCTCCGGCTCAAAAAGGTGCTTAAGCCCCGCATTAGGAGCGCGCCGTCCCCGCTGCCAAGCGTGATGGATCTGTAACTATTCTGAAGCCAGCCATGAATATTGCATGTGGATCCACTTATCGGAGCCTCCCCGGCACGGCAGCCCGGGCCCACTTTAATAGGCGGCTGTCAGGAAACGCCAGCCCGGCAGGAAGAGTTGGGATCAGCCCTTTCGGTGCCAGCCCGGGGCTCCGGGATGGTTTCGATCCTCTTCCTCCCCTCGGTGTTTGAGCCCTGCAAGCAAACAGCCCCCGAGTTCGGGGAGCCCAAAAGTTGCACCTCTGGGATAAATGGATGCATCTGGGGGAGCGAGGGGCTGTCCAGGAGAGTGTGAGAGACTCCCAGGGAAAATGCACCGCTGCTGCTGGTGGAGGCTCCACCAATTGCATTAATTAAAGTTCTAATTGTGCTTTGACCTCCTCGGAGGACCCTCGCCCTCCTTGGCCGAGGCAACTGGATTATTCCTCCCGGCGCTGATTGTCAGAGCCTTCTTTGCTGCTAAAATGTTCTATTTCCTAAGCAAAGGTGGAACTTTCAACAGCAATAATAAACAACAGCCACGAGAAACAGTCATTCCATGGGCAGTTTCTGGGGAAGGCTGGAACTGGATTCAAGGAGAGGCCCTCTGGTCCCTGCTGATGCTCTGGGGGTTGGATACTGGGTTGGGAAGCTCCTTTTTGACACATGGTGATGCCAAGCCCCCTCCCTGGCAGAGCTCAGCTCTGTCGCCCTCTGTCCTTCAGCCTCCCCTCCTTAACCTCTAAATCACGGAATTATTTCCTCACTGACTGTAATTTTATTTTCCAGCCCTGGCTAATGAGCTCTTTGTGTAATGTATCATAAATTACTCAGGGCAAGATCCTTCTTTTACTTAGAACGGGTAAAAAATCGGCCCTGGCTCCAGCCTGGCCCCACACGGGGCTGGATTTTTCCAGCCGGAGCTCAGCTCCGCTCGAGCCCTAATTTTGCAGATAAACAGCTTCTATTTCATTAAATGAGCTCTGCCCAGAATGTTTGTCTTAGTTATTTCCAGCAAATTAATTCATAGGGCTTAATCTGTTTAGCATCTGATTAATGGGATTTTTAATCACCCATAATAATGATAATAAAAGGCTTAAAGTAATAAGCGAGGCAGAGGTGTGTATTTGTCTTCGCTCTGCCCATTGTCCTGACAGCCACCAGTGCTGCACCATAGCTCACGGGATCCATCGACCAGGGGGGAAAAACCAGCCCTCCTCTGAATCCCTCTCCTCCAGCCGGGGCTGGGAAATCACCTGTTACCCAGGGGGCAGTTGGGAAAGCAGCACTTGGGGGCTCCTGGAGCCCAGACCCACCCTCCGGTGACACAAACGCCATCCAGCCTCGTCTCTGGTGGTAATAATAATAATAATAATAATAATAATAATAAATAATAATAATAATAATAATGATGATGATGATGATGATAATGATGTCTCTGCTGCAGGACCCCTGGAATCAGCTCTGCTGTCGGAGCAGGCCCAGCAGTGACAGATCCCAGTGTGGCCTTAGCGGGACAGTGGGAGAGACAAGCAGGTATTTTTTTGTCTTTTATCTGTTTTTTTATCTGAGTGCCGACCCCGTAGGAGTCCCACCCGGCCGTGCCCCTGCCCAGAGCAGCTGGGACCAAACACAACTCATTGCACACGTGGCCAGGCCTCATCCTTCTCCCTCAGGGGTTTGTTCCTGACTCCTGTCCGTGCTGGGCTCGCAGGCTGCTGTCCTGCCTTCCCCAGTGCAGAAACTCCCTGTTTTTCGCCTCCCAGAGCCTGGAAGCCGAGTGTTTTTGGCTCTGGCAGGGTGAGGGGGAGGTCAGGGTCGGGCACAGGCTGCGGCATTTCCCAGGGAGGGATCGATACCCAACCAGCCGTGCTCGTGCTCCGAGCGGGGAGGGACGTGTGCTCGGAGAGGCAAAAAGCATCCTCTGCCTCTCCCCGGGCTCCTTCCTCCCCTCTGCCCGCCTGAAATTGGAAAGAAAGGCATCGATCTCCTCCTCTTTTCGGGGGCGAGGGGGAAATTGCGGAGTGAAGATGACTTGAAAGAGGGAGATGGATGGGAGCGACTGGAGCTCGTCCTCCACGGGGGGAGGAAAGTGCAGCACAAATGATGATGTGAGCGATCCATCCGGCAGTCGGGGGCTGGATCCGCAGCTCCGGCATGGAAGGAGCGGAGCACGGGGGGACTGTGGGCTCTGCTGGGGGTCTCGGGGGTCCCTGTGCTCCTGGGAAGGAGGAGACACCCACACAGAGGTGCTCGGAGCAATCAGGGCTGGTGGGAGGGGGGCTTTGAGCAGTGAGATGGGCTTCGAGGTCCCTTCCAACCCAAACCATCCCGGCATTCTGTGGCACTTCTCCAACCACAAACCCCCCACCTCCAGCACAGCCCAGGGGCACTGCCAGGCCCAGGCGTGAGGCAGAGTCTCCCTCCCTTTTCTCCCCCTTTTTTTCCAGGAGAATTCCCTTTTGCCCGCTGGAGACAGGTGCAGGTATCCCTGTCGGAGACATTCCCAGCAGGAGAGGTTCCCCCCCGGCTCCTGTCCCTGGCAGAGCAGTTATAAATTCCCCGTGCAGCAGGTTCCAGGCTGATTGCCTTTCCTGCCGGAGCCTGGCTGGAAATGAGGCTTTTCCGGGATGACAGATCGAGCTGCTCCCCCGGAGCATCAATCCTGGCAGCCCCAAGTGCCACCACAGCCTGGTGGCCAGCCCAGGGCCCGGCTCCTCGGGGTGGCACAGCTCTCCCGGGGCAATTCCTCAGCCCCGAGCCCCGTCGGCCCCGCTGTGGGATGTCAGGGCAGAGTGGTGGGTCTGGGCTGTGAATCCCAACCTGGGAGCTGTGACACCCCACCCAGGGCCTGTTTATTCACCCAGCAGGGTCAGTTTGCCCTCAAGCCTTGGAGTCACCCTTAGGAATATTCCGGATGTGCTCAAGGAGCCCTGGCAGCAGGGGATACAAAACTCCCTAAATTCAATCCAGCTGTGCTGACTTCCAGCCTGTTGCCACACGGGTTGGCTCAGGAGGCAGCACCCTGCATCCTCTCACCCCTAAACACAAATCCCAGCCCGGCAGACATTTAGGGAACCCTCTCCCCTTCCCGAGGCAGCCGGCCGGGATCCTGCCGGTGAGCCCTCGGCGGCCCCGGCGCTCATTACTCTGCTCCCAGCTGAACAGTAAGTCTCTGCAACAGTACTTACAGCCTGTAATAATATTACTGCTCGCTCTGCTACATGGTCCCTCAGTCATTTTTTCAATTAAAAAAGGCCCAACGCTCTATTAACCTTTTGCCTGCTCCCCCATCCTTCACGCCGGGGGCTCGGGGAAGGCGTGTTTTCCCGGGAAGCAGCGCCCGGCTCACTGTCATCACACGTGTGAAGTGCCATTTGTTCACTTAAAAATACGAGCTGCTTTATCCAGCTCCCACCTCTGAACTGCAGCGGGATCTCTGGGTGCCCCGGGTGGGAGGCAGGTGGAGCTCATTCGATTCCCGGGCTGATGTGATTCCTGCTTTTCCTCCTGTCCCGAGGCACAGAGACCTGCCAGAGCCCCGGATGCTCCAGGATTTCCAGGCTCCACAACACGTTATTTGCCAGAAATCACCCGAAGCTGGGCCCCTGTGAGCTGGCTGTGCTGTGCAGAACAGAGACCCTGCTCCAATCAATAGCCTTTCCACTGTCTCTGCCTGCCCACTGCCCATTATTTCCCCGGGTTTATTTTGCTGACGGTCCCAGCTGCAGCAATAGGAGCCTTCCGAGTGGTCTGGGGCCGGGTTTGGAGCCCTAACCTGCTCCCTGGCAAGGCTACAGGTCCTGGGGAAAGAGGATATCCATACAAACTGCTTCAGAAGGGTCTGGCAAAAACACCCAGCTCCATCCCAGCAGTGGAAAGAATTTGCAGCAGTGTCCAACTGGGGCAGTGCCCACGTCCATCCCCTTCCTGAGGATGCGGGAGATGTCTTGGATTAGCTGAGTCCAACCTATGCAGCCCAAAATTTGGCTCCACGGATCGCTCCTTTACCAAAGGTCTCGGAATTTCACTCATTAACCCCACGCTGTGCCTGTGGGGTTAATGAGAGATTTCTATTCCACACCTCCTCCCCACGTGGGGACTCTTCCCTCGTGGAGCTGCCTCGGGTTAAAGATGCCTCGTTATTCCCTCATTTTTCCCCGCAGAAGTTCCCATATCCTGTAATCAGGGCATTTTTCCCCCTCTTTTCTCACGAGCTCCCCACGTCAGGCTCTTTCAGCCGGTGTATTTTTGGCTCCCGGGTAATTTTGACGGCTATTTTCTGTTCTCCCCCCCGATTCCCGCCTCCTTCGGAGCCCTGAGTACCACAACAGGCCGGAGCTCTGCAATCTCTGCCCACAAGTGCCCCATGCTGAGGCAGGAGCTGCTCCCCTGCTCCTCACCCCCCCACACACTTCCCCAGGGCTTCCATTAGCCCATTTTCCCACAGCAGCTTTTTGGGTCTCCTGCTCCATTATTTATTTGAGGATAAACACCTAAAAGCCGGCTGTTTTTCCCCGAGCTGTTGCTCCCAGAGTGGTCTCCTCTGGGGTGCCCCCCACGTGACATTTATCTCCAGCCTCGGGTACTCCTGGTTCCCTCCCTGCTCCTCTTGTCCAGGCTGTGCCAAGGGGCACCATCCCACCCTCTGGCATTCCTTACATCCTCTGCAACCATCCCGTGGCTGACGGTGGAGATCAAACTGCCCGAGGGAAACGCTATTTACTTTTCCCACTGTAAAATATCCCCGGCAAGAAATCCAATTCCAGTGCTGGCAAGGACCAAGGGTGTTCCTGAGAGGGGCAGCTCCCACTGGGAGGGCTCCAAGGCTCTCATAACTCTCCTGTGCCAGCTCCAGAGGCTGGGGAGGCCCTGGCATGAGCTTCCCTCCGTCGCTGGGAGTGTCCAGGACAGGCTTGGAGCAACCTGGTGTTCCAGCCCGTGGCAGGGGGTTGGACTAGATGGTCTTTAAGGTCCCTTCCAAGCCAAACCAGCCCCTTCTGGCATCTGCCAGGCCCGTCCCAGCCCTGCAGCAGGGTGGCTGCAGCGCCCTGGACGCTCAGCTCCTTTCCCAGTCGGAGTCCTGTGCCCCTTCTCCCTCCTAATCTCCCTCTCTCCAAGAGCTTATGTGGATTAGCAGGCCCCTCTGTGTGATCTGTAAACCCCCCTGATCCCCAAACGACTCCTCTAATGGGATTGTGCCCACCTTTTCCAGCCTGGATGCACCTCCGGGCTGCGGGTGCGGGTTCCCGGGGCTCCCCCTCTTCCCGGCCCTGCTGCCATCCCTCCTTTCCCCTCCCGGCCCTGCTGCCATCCCTCCTTTCCCTCCCCAGCCCGCAGATTTATTATTCCACGGCAATCGTGGGGGATTGCATTTGAAATCAATTAGCACAGGTACTCGGAGATGAATGTTCGCCCTCGGAAAAAAGGGGATGAAAACATCGCATTTAAATAGAAATCAATTCCCCTTTCATGTATTCCTTCCCGGCTGCTGCCCGAAATTAATAGTTCTTAGATATTTGTGCGGGGAGAGGAGAGTCTGCCCTGCCGAGCACTTCCCTCTCCTCCTCCCCAGCTCCAGGCTCTCCCACCCTCAGCCCTCTGGCAAAAAGGGGCTGTTTGGTTTCCCGGCTGGAATTGCCTCCTCCCTCCTCGTTTTTTGTGACATCACGAGCCATTTCTCCACGGGAAGCCGTTGAATTCCAGCACTAATAAACACCAGGGCTGCAGCAAAGGGACCCCAGGAACTCCAGGACGTGCCATTACCCCGGGCTGGACCTTTAGAGGAAACCTCTTTGCACCAATTAGGCTCCCAGGGAGCCCAAAAGGATGACAAGGCAGGGATTAAGGGATTGTCCCTCCGGATCCCGGGGGCATTCCCGAGCATGGGGAGCCCCCCAGACCTCCAGCACCCCCAGGCTCCCCTAAAAGGGAGCTGGGCTGGGTGCCCACCTTGGCTCCAGCTCTGGTGCCAAGAGGTGCCACTCAGGCCCAAAGTTTGGGACAAAAGCAAGGGAAAAAAACCCCCAAAAAACCAAAAGCAGCTCTTCTTTTCAGGCAGTGAACCCGGGTGTCCCTCACGGCCACTGCAACGCCGGGACTTTTCCAAAGCCTGAGCCAGAGAAAAAGAACGAAAAATGGCATTTTTTGCCCAACTTCCCTGGATATGGGGGCCAAATTCCCACGGTTACCTCGAGCAAGGAGTTTTCCCTGGGGTAAAGTGCCCACCAGCAGCCAGTGCCTGACCTGCTCTGGGTGACAGGGTGCCCTGCAAGTGACCTGTCCCCTCACCCCCAGCTCTTAATGCCAAGGGTCCTTCCAACCTGCTCACCCGCTGGGGGACCACCCTTTTAATACCATAATCATTTCGGGTATTATCCCCCTTCAGCCTCCGAAACCTAATCCCAAATTTGAACAAGCATCTGTCCTCCTCATTCACCACAAATTACGGCCCGGGCCCCTCGGCCCTGCCCTGATCCCTTCGATCTGGGTTTGCCAGCAGGGTTATGATTAATCTCCCCCTCCAATCATTTTCCCCTCCCATCTGTTTTCCAGCAGGAGTCCCGTGCCGAGGCCAAGGGCCTGCCTGGCTCTAATCCTGCTGTGCCAGCTCCAGGCACGGGGGAGGCCTCGCAGCCCACGCCCTCATTTACGTCCCTCGCATTTTTAGATGGTTTTTTGGCATTTTTTGACCTTGCCGGTGATTTCTCCCAGAGAAATCAGGCTTTCAGCTCAGCTGCCTGGGTCAGGAATACAAGCTGTTCCCAGCCCTCTCCGTTCCTGGCCTCCAGGTATTGATCCCTGGCTCCATTTTCCTCGCTCTCCGCTCGATTCCTGCCGCTGCCTATTTTTGGTTCGCGCTTCCCGCCGGCGGATCCTTCTGGAGCTTTGCTCAGGCTCCCTCTGCTTCGCCTCCCACTGGCACTGCAGCATCTCCAGCCCTTCCCCGGGTGCCCCTGCCCGGCTCCCACTGGCAGCCCGGCCCCGCTGCCCTCCCCGTGCCCACAGACTGTCCGTGCCGTGGGTTTGGGAGCTCGGGGGGCTCAGATTTAATTACAGTTCATAGTTTAGCCCAGAGATCTCATTCGGCTTCTAATGTGACTTGTACTCCCTTTTTATTTTTACCTGCAAAAGGGGCAGATTTCCACCTCTCTCCAGGGCTGCAGATCCCAGTTATTAAACCTGCCCACACCCATCCCACCACTCTAAAGGCCGGGCTCTGCCTGTGCAGGGCCGCAAGTGGAATTTAGGGTGCCCAAACCCCCGCCCTCCACCCCCTGTGCTGAGGGTGTGCTCCAGCCATTTGTTTCCCTCTTTGATTCCCTAATTCTCCCCTCTCCATGTTATTTGTTACCGGCTCTGTTGGAGTGCTGGCAGGCTGGGAAATCAATCCAGCTCCGGAGCCGGAGTCTCCGAAGGGCTGTGTGGGAAAGGCTGCCCCTGCCCGGGACAGCGGCTTGACACCAGATAAATCACCGCGGGTTTTTTTGCCAACGTGCCATATTTCAAACTCATAATCAGTCCCCCATCAGCCCTGGCCTTCCTTCAGGCATCTCCTTCCCCCTGCCCGTGATTTATGTCCCCGGGCACCGACACCGATCCGACGTTTCTAATCCTCCCTCCTATAATTTCTCTTGGCTGCATTTCCTTAATTACCCCTTTCTGACCTTCCTTTTCCCCCTCCTTACCCCTCCTGGGTTTCCTTCTTCTAATTGACAGCGTGACCGTGGTCCCTGAGCCCCCCCGGAGCCGTGGGGACATCGGGGGTTTGGGGTGGCAGGGGTGGGAGCAGCCCCGTGCCAGGCTGGGGCCGGGCACATCGCTTGGGAAAGCTCCCCAGGGAAGGACACGGGCAGCTGTGCCAACCCCAGGCGGGTTTGGGGCGAGGGAAAGCAGAGCAGTTAACTTTCTGGAGCGGCTGGAACATCTCCCTCATAATTAATAAATGGGAGCTGTTTTGCTGCAGCTGATCAATACGGTCGTTAGAGGGCATTGATCGCGGGGGGATCGCTCTTTTTGTGGGGACCATTTTTCACCTCTCCGGAACAAAGGGCTCCCCGGGGGGCTCTCCCAGCCCGCCCCAAACGGCCCGCGAGGGAGACACAATTAATTAATTAATTAATTAACACCCCGAGAGCCTCCGGAGGGGCCGGAGCCTGTGCCAATTTTGAGGTACAGACGGGTGGTGCCAAGGCAGGACAGGCTGTGCCCCCTCCTGTGCCATCACCGTGTCCTTGGAAGCCTCGTGCCAGGATCCTTTCCCAAGGAAAGGACCCAAGCTGGGTCAGCTTTTCCATGACAAACCCCGGGCAGGGACCATCCCCTCTCGCAGGCAGTTTATAGGGTGATAATAAGCCTCAAAAAACGCTGGGAAGTGACACTCCACATTCCAGGATTTGCCTTGGGAGATGAAATTTAAAGAGCTTGTTAAGCTGTTTGGGTTTTTTTGGTTTTGTTTTGTCACTGTGGCGGGTTTTTTTGAGTGGTTTGTTTGTTTTTCCTCTCGAAGGAAACACAAATTCAGTCCAGAGCAGCACTTCAGGCCTGGTTTTCTCCTCGCAGCTCCTGTTCACCCAGGCACCTCAGTCCCTCTGGCTCACGCAGGGCTGAGCCTGGGAGGGAATGACCCGGGAGGGAAGGACACGCTGGGAACGCTCCCATGGACAGAGCAGAGTGTGGACATCACACCTGCAGCGCCTGCCCACAACCTGGGGGATCGATGAACAATTAATTCCTGCCACCACTGGTATCTCCCAGCCCCTAATTAGCAGCCCTGGCAGTTGTCTGTCAGGCAGGAGCAGGGGCACTCTCTTACCGGTAATTAAGGCTGGATAAACTTGTTTGGAAAAGGCTGGAAGCCTGAACTACCCAGCTGGGAGGCAGGGGAAAAAAAATCCCGACAATTAAGACTGAGATCTTTAGAAGAGCTTTTAAATGTCAGAGCTGCCAGCGTTTGGCTCGGGTTAAATGCCCGGATCCCACAAGAATCCAGCCCTAAATTAGGATTTCAGATGTGCAGCGGCTCAGGAATGAAGTGGTTCCTCTGCTCTCCCTTTTCCAGGGAAGGGAGGGTTGCTCCTGGCCCTGAGCACTTCCAGGGGGTGAATCAAGGTGATTACTGATGGCAAGGCCTGTTTTATCTGATCCCAAACCACAAACCAGGATCTCGTCCCCTCGGTGGCATCCTCACCCCTGGAGCAGGGCCAGGCTTCCCTGGCAGCCAGCAGTGCTCGTAATTAACTCCAGCCAGCCAAACTCGAAATCCATCCCACTTTGGCCCATAAATCCATAAATCCATAAATCTTTGCTCAATCACTACCTGCAGACGAGGGGGGGTCTCTCTGATCTCCCACTTTCCTCGTGCTGAGCTGAGGATCAGGGATGGGCGGCGGGAGAGACACCGGGGTCCCAGTGTGAGGCACGATTTAAAACTTGGTGGATGGTAAAATTCTGGAGGAGACCAGCCCGTTAGTAGGAGTTTGTTAATGATTTTATATCCCCCCGCTGGCTCCCCACTCGTTTTCCTTTTTGTCATTTTAACGGGGCGCTGATAACATCATCTGATAACATTTGATAACATCTGATCAAACATCTGATAACATCTGCCTCCGGGACCGCGCCGTGCCGTAAACAGGCCTCGGAAAAAAAAAAAAAAATAGCGCCCGCCGCTTCTCGCCGGGAATATCGATTTTTTTTTTGGCGTTGGAAAGGGTCAAATTCAAATGGCCGGCACAAAGAGAGGCTGCGGCTCACAAAGAACAGAGTGCGGCGGCGGCGGGAGCGGCTCGGGGCCGGGGCCGGGGAAGGGACAGGACAGGCCAGGGCGCGCCTTTCCCTTGGGAACAGGCAGCTGCTGCCCGTCCTGCCGGGAGCGTCCCGCCGGGAGCCGCGGGCTGTGCCGAGGGGACGGAGGGGCCCAGAGCCCTCCCCCGCC